ACTGCCCAGCTAGCTATCAGATTATCAATTGATGAGCTAGCTCTGAGCCGCTCACCTTGTTTTTCCAAGACGGACAATGCCGTCATCTAAAAGCAGGTTTGGAAAGCAGCTAACAACTTGCAATTGATTAGCCTTCAGCATTTTGCGGCTAATCAATTGCAAGTGTTTATGTCATCTGTCTATGCTAGGTACTTAAAACGCTCTTAATTCAACATTTCAGACAAATGGCTGTTTGCCACATGAGTGAGTGCTGGGCAATTAACCGCTACTTGTAGTGCATCATTCTGTCCGCCCCATCACAGCGCAGGAGGAATATTTACTGCACTTGTTTGTGTCTGCAGTGCGAAAATATTATGCAAACCTAGACAACAAAATGTGGTTCTTAAAGGTGAACTCCATTCAGCCATAAAAATTAGTAGTATGTGTCTCCCTTCCCCCCTCCTTTCCCTTCTCCAGATTGCAAGGGTTAAAGGAGAACTATGAGGTGAGTGATTCCAAATCATCTTCATAGTTCGAGGCGACGTGTGGCAATTAAACTGTCACAAGTCGGCTCAATAGATCGGGAAGTGCGCACACACATACCGTCGCTCGCTCACTTCCCGATCATCTCCCTGCAGAGAGCGGTGACTGTCAGTCACGGCTCCTTGCAGTGATTCCCCCCTCCCCTTCAGCACTGACTGGAGGAACAGTCGTGGAGGGGGTGGGCACAGCGGGCTCTGCCTCTAGATAGGCAGAGCCCGCTGTCAATCAGCCAGCTGGGTGGATCTCGACAGCATTGTCGGGATCCGTCCCGGCTGCAGCGGTCTCAGTATACCGCAAGCTCTGGCTCGCTATATACTGAGCTTTGGGTCACGGGAGGAGGTTAGTATATGTCCTCTCGTGAACTATTACCCCATAGTTCTCTTTTAAACCTCCCCTATGCTAAATAAACATTTAAAAGAGAACTGTCCCAACCTTTTTTCGCCCATAGTTCTCTTTAGGGACACAGGAGGACATTTACTTATGTCCTCCTGTGACCCAAAACTTAGGATATAGCGAGCTATTGCCTCCTATATGCTGACAGTGCAGAACTGCGCTGCGACCAGGAAAGATCCCGACAGTATTGTCAGCTCCACCCTGCTACCTGATTGACAGCTGGCTCTGCCTCTCTAGATTCTAAACCCAGCAAACAATTCTCTTACCACACATGTTGGGTATGGCTGCAAACATTGGAGTGAGAACAATCATTCCAAGACCATAATTTGATAACTCTAAACCGATGAGCAGTAAAGGCTTTCGAAATGTCACATAAGGAGAATTTTGAGTACCCAAGTTTTTTATGGGACTGTGCACAATTTTAACTCTTGACATGTTTGTTATCTATTTACTTAAAGGAGAACTATGAGGTGAGTGCTTTTCACTCACCTCATAGTTCTAGCCGACCTGTGACAATGAGACTGTCACAGGTCGGCTCAGTAGATCGGGAAGTGAGTGAACACATACCGGCGCTCGCTCACTTCTCGACCCTGTCATGGCTCTCTGCCATGACAGGGGAGGGACTGGATTCCCCCCTCCCCGCTCCGATCCTCCAGCGCTGACTGGCGGAACGGACAGGGAGGGGGCGGGTACAGCTGGCTCTGCCTCTATATAGGCAGAGCCAGCTGTCAGTCACGCAGCTGGGCGGATCCAGACATAATTGTCGGAATACGCTTCAGCTGCGGCGTCTCAGTATACCGCAAGTTTTTTTTTTTTTTACTAAAAAATATCGATTTGATAAACATTTGCGCAAATATTATGTGTGTGCGCCATAAAAAAAATTGAGCTATCATTTTTTTAATTCTACAGGCCTCTGCTTTCAGGAAATATATAATTGTTTGGGGGTTTAAAGTCATTTTCTATTTAAACATTCTGATTTTAACGTGTGTGAAAAATGAAAAACATTCTCTGGTAGTGAGGTTGTTCATGCGCACAATATTAACCACTTCCAGGCCGCAATACATACATATACGGCGGCTCACAGAAGTGGTTAAAACAAGAACATAGCTGCTGCAGCAGCCATGTTCTTGGTGTCATTTTTAACAGCCAGCTGTTAACGTACAAGCGATCCGCGTGTATACAGCCGCCGGATCGTTTTTACCAAGCGGCACTGTCTCCCCCTCCCACCGGGGCCGCCGTCGGTTTCCCCGGACTCCGCTGTCTCCGTGCGGCGCCTGGGACCGGCTCAGCGGGTCTCCCCACCACGATCGGAGAGAGATTCAGCGGCTGATCTTTCCTCTGATCACTGGACCTGGGCACATTCTCCGACTCTTAGAGCCAGGAGAAAAAGCGGGGGAAGCAGATCTCTGATTCCTCAGCTTCCTTGGGGTCCCTAGGTGACATTAGGGGTCTAAAAGACCCCTGATGTCTCCATAAAGAGGACCTGTCTCCATAAAGAGGACCTGTCACACCCTATCTGCTATTAAATAGGGGGCTTGGTAGCCCCCTATGTGATAGCAATAAGGTTATTGTTAAAACAAAACTGATTTTGTTAGCACTAAACTGATGAGTGGTAAAAGCGTTTAAAGCGTCCCCTATGGGAAATTGGGGGAATTGAAGTTTTTTGCAGCTTCACGGGCGAACGCAATTTTAAGGCTTGACATGTTTGGTATCTATTTACCCGAGTTAACCCCGTCTTTTATATTTTACCAAAAAATTGGGTATTTTATTCTGCATCTGTACACAACATGTTCATTTAGCTTATTTTATCCTAAAAATACTGCTTTCATAAACATTTGCGTAAATACCGTGCAACATAAAAAATTGCAACTACCATTTTTTTTATTCTACAGGGCCTCTGCTTTCAGAAAATATCTCATTGTTTGGGGGGTCTGAAGCTGTTTTCTAGCCAAAGATATATATATATACTATCACGTGTGCGCAAATATTATGAAATTGCTCCGGACAGGAAGTGGTTAAAATTGTTATTTATACAGCCAGAAAATGGGGTCTTGCACTGACTTTGCTCTTTGTGATTTTGTGCTATTAATAGATACAGCTGTTATCTGCGGTGCTCACGCCATTCACGGGTTTTCTTTAATCTTCATGAATGTGCGCTCTACCTGCGGCACTAAATTGTAATAATTATTTTTTATAATGTATCAAAGTGGCGCCATTAGATGGGGGCGCCTGACTTGTGCATTTAGTCCAGTCGTGCATGTAATAGAAGTCCCCACATCTACATGTGCTATACGTCCATTCCCCATCGCATCCCGCCGTAATTGCTGGATGTCATTTGTTGCATAGAATTGCACACTGTATTAACTTCCGTTAGTTAATTCTTCCTGATGTTTAATAATAATAAAAAAAAAATCACAATTTTACCACTTGAAGGGCGACCGCAGAACAATGTCATAGGCGAGAATATGTGTCTGGTTGCAGCTGGCCAATAGGAAGAGCCTTTTACAATCACAGTAAAGTGGATTTATTGGAAAGGTACAATGGTTTTCTTTATAGGAGAAGAGTAAAATGTACTTTTCCAATAGTTTGAGCCGGCGTGTGACACTGCAGCTGTCACTTGTCGGCTCTATAGATCGAGAACTGAGCGATCACAAATCGCCGATTGCTCAACTCACGGCTTCTCCCTGCAGAGACTGTCAGTCACTGCTCCCCACACTGCTCCCCACACTGCTCCCCACACTGCTCCCCACACTGCTCCCCACACTGCTCCCCACACTTCTCCCCACACTTCTCCCCACACTTCTCCCCTCTCTCTGTTTTTCCGGCACCCTTCGGAGGCACAGACAGGGGAGGGGGCGGGCACAGCTGGCTCTTGAGGGACCCATTAATAGCAGTAACTCCCTCCATGGACCAGCGCTCATTGTACCGCATGATGGAATTTACTGGTCAGTGGTCAGTAGCCAACTGAACGATCGTTCCGGTATTATCCTGTCATTGATCGGGAAGTGGTTAAAACTAGCAAAAAGGGGAAGGTGCACATGGGCAGTATAAAAAAAAAAACAGTACAAAACCAGCAACAAAAACAAACTAATCTGTTTTAACTACTCGGGTTGGAAACAGGTTTTAGTTACACACTAAGGCCCCATTCACACTGAGTGATTTATCGCGCTGTAATCCGCGCGATATCGCAGATATTTACAGCGAGATATTGTTCTCCAATGCATGGCAATGGGGCTCTGTCTGTCGCTATTGCGGATCGTTCGTCGCTACAGAAGGACCCTTTTTTGGATTGGATTTTGCCGCGATTCTAGTTTGCTCAATGCAACCATTTGCGCGATATCGCGCGACAAACCGAGCGATATCGCGCAAAATGCAAATCGCGCAACAAACGCGCAATTTGCGAATCGCTCAGTGTGAATGGGGCCTAAGTTGTCAAACAGATTAGCTGTTTTTTGTTGCTGGCTAGCCTTAAAAGAGAACTATGAGGTAACTTTTTTTATCCCATAGATCTCTTTAGGGTCACGGGAGGACATATACTAACCTCCTCCCATAACCCAATGCTCAGTATATAGCGGGCAATATGCTGAGAGCGCCGCAGCTGGGACGGATCCCTACAATACTGTTGAGATTCACCCAGCTGGCTGATTGATTGATAGCTGGCCCTGCCTATCTAGAGGCAGAGCCAGCTGTGCCGGCACCCTCCCCTGTCCGTTCCTCCACTCAGTTTTGGAGGATCGGAGAGGGGAGAGGTGACTGACAGTATCCGCTCTCTGCAGGGAGATGATCAGGAAGTGAGTGAGCGAGCGACGGTCTGTGTTCACTCAGTCCCCGATCAATAGAGCCAACCTGTGACAGTTTCATTTTGACACGTCGGGTCTAACTATGAGGGTGAGTGTAAATCACTTACCTCATAGTTCTCCTTTAAAGTGCGCTGGGGATCACTTTTGTGCTGCCCTTCATTCAGCCATTTGTAATATCTGTGTTACAATGTATCTTTCCATTTCTAATTACTATGATTGGCCAGCACTGCATTGTTTGGTTTTTTTTTGTGCTTCTATTCTAATGTTGCCTCATGTATTTTGCAGTGATCTGAACTCAAAACTGCAAGACACTTTGGAACAAATTGAGGTAAGATGCTTATTGGGCATTGCTGGTGGGATGGGATCGGGTGTTGGATGTATTTGTGCAATTAGAGGAGAGACATCAGTGTGTTACTTTAGTTTGTGTTATGTGTTTACTGGTTCATGTAATAGACAGAACGGACAAATTAAAGTCTCAGTAAGCCAAACCTTTTTTTTAAAGGAGTTGTAAAGTCCCTGCATATCCTCTCCTGTTATATCATCAGCATTGTAATAGGAATACATACTAGAGTTGTTTCTGATAATACAATCAAAGCTCACATGAAAAAAATCTCTTATCTGTGTGATGTGATGCAATCTCCATTTCTCAAGACTTCATATCTCTTCATGTATTGCTACCAGCAAGCAATGATGATGTTACACCGTTCAGATGCTGAGTTGTATTTCAGACGGCAGGCTCTGTGAGGAACTGTATATTCACAGGGCTGAGTGAAATGGTGTCAGTGCTTTGAGGAAATACATCTTATGGGCATCTTCAATAAGTAAGTGTACAAACTTCTAGATGGATCTGGTTATCAGGAGGGGGGATAGAACTTATGGAAATTCACTATAGAAATACAAGTGTTTGACCATAGATATCCATTAGGTGTATCAAAGGATGACTAACGCAAAACAAGTAAATATCATTTAAAATACTAATCTGAAATATGTTGGTTTTTGTCCTAATGTCTTTGATGCTTAAAGTCCATGTAAACCCTAACAGTGAACTTCTCTTATTTGGTCCGTATTTGTCTGTTAATTATACCATTGAAAGCCTTGTGTTATATCTGTTATTAGTGCACGAAATATGTGTGGATCCTGCTTGAAATTTATTAAGCTGATAACTTCCTGTGCTCTCTGCCTGTGCTGACTGTTATCTTGCATTGTTCCAAATTATCTCTGAGGACTTCCGAACCACATGTCTGTGTTATGGAGAAGAGAAAAGGGGCGGAGACCTGTAGTCCTGTCCTGTTTCTATTATCCTAATACAGTAGGGAGAGTGACCGTTGTCGTCCTGGGACAGGATGTGTGTTCCTGGCAGAATTATATATTTTCGTGTGTTTTGGACTGAAAATATAGATTTGATGAACAGTCGCGCACATTTCATGCAACGCTCACACACAACCACACGCGCGATTTTTCGCGACTTCAATACGTTTTTGTTCTACACGGTGTTCTAAAATATATATACACCATATTGACAAAATTATGGAGACACCCCTCCAAATCATTGGATTCATGGCCACAGGGGTGTAAAATCAAGCACCTTGGCATGCAGACGCTTCTGCAAACATTTGTGAAAGAATGGGTCGCTCTCAGGAGCTCAGTGAACACAAGCAGTATAATTTTTTTATGTAGGGAATATTTTTTTAAAGGCTGTAGTTTTCCTTTAATGCTTCCTTGTTGCTGTTACTTACATTTTCATGTCAATTTTGACTTTGATGATTTCCATTTTAATTGACTATCACTCCTCTGTATATGTTAAACATGTCAGCATTGTCAGGCTTTCGGTCTGTGTGTCAGAATATGATTGTTTAGCCATTTGCAGTGAGAATACATCTGTCCCTTTTATCCATAGATTATAGATGATTACTATGCATATAAGACAAACACAGGGTTGATGGGAATGATTTCCCCGGGGTTAGCGCGTGTGTCGGGGCTTCGTCTTTATTGGTCAGATGAATTATTTATCATAACAGCTCAGTTCTTTTACAGTGTGCAGCTTTAATATCTTTCCCAGAGCCAATATTAACTTCAGCGGTAATAACTCCTGCTGCTCAATAATCGTTTGCATAGAAAATATTATCCCTCCTGGTTCTGTTTTCCATTCACTTATGGTGATATATTGTCATCTGCATTATCAGTGGGACGTCACCTGTTTATTACATGTCCTTGAATTAGCACCATTTTTATGGTAAAGTCTAACTCTGGGTAAAAATTAAACCTTCATTCTATTCCTCCCTCCAACCCCGCCACCCAAACCCCATTTAGTTTTTTTTTTTTAAATCCTACATTTGATATACTCCTAAGCAGAGTATTAGCTAGCAGTGGGTATCCCAAGCTATAACCCTAATGATCACATGGCTGGATCCCACCTTGGTATCGAACGCTTCTTAGCTGAAGCAGTCAACATCGAGCCTCCGGAGGGAGGTCTACTCAATGTATCTGCTGGGGCCAATCAGCAAGGAGCCGGCCAGCATCCTGATCGCACGGGAAGCAGGCTGCAGGTTCTGCCGGTCAGAGGAAACACTAGTATCGGTGCATCCCTAATTTTTCGTGGGTATGGGGGAATCTTTATAGGGTATGGAGAATATCTTTTTAATTGCCATATTGTATCCCATTATATGTTTAGATTAAATTCCTATGAAAGCAAGCTTGAAGAAAACATGACCTGGTTTAAAATGTTATAAATGGAACAATACTGCTGATGTTCAGACACCTTGTGTACCTGCAAGTACTGTGCTAGTCTTTAATTCATGTGTTCCTCTAGACCACCTTGTATCTTTGCTGTACCAGAGGCCTTAACTTATTTATAAGCCATGATTAAAGTGACATTAATGGATACGCTTTTTTTTTCCCTCCCCCCCAAAGTTAATGTCAACACTTACCTTAAATGATGTATCTTAATCCGATCTTCTTCTTTCCTGTCGTTTTCAGCCTTCTCTACAGCGCTGTTGCATGTCTCTGATCCAGCGCTGACTCCTCTGTGCTTGCTGGCACTTCCTGTCCCACGGTGTCTGCATGCGGGTGCATGCCGTCCATAAACTTACTTTTAGTCTCTCCTCATCTCCCGGCCGAAAATCTGAACTGCGCATGCGCCCGCCCCAAGGTCCTTTGCGGCCGCCTGAGATTTTTCAGATTTTTGGACAGGAGCGCGCGGGGGGGGGGTGGGGGGAGACACAGGAAAGTTTAAACCTCTTTTGAAGCATTTTCTGAATTGAGAAAGCTAGTCGGATGTCCACTGAAACGTCTTCAAGAAAAATACAGCAAGTCCAGTTGCCTTGACTTATTTTTTACACATACACTGATCCCTTGCCTACAAAATTTTTATTCTGTCAGCAGTGATAGACACTTCACCCACATCCTCCCACTGTGACCATTCATACCAGGATGGCCTGCTGCGGTGCATTCACCGCATATGTGTCAATGTGCTTTATGTCATATGGTAATGTATATTGCGTTAAAGGAGAACTATGAGGTGAGTGCATTTCACTCACCTCATAGTTCTAGCAGACCTGTGACAATGAGACTGTCACAGGTCGGCTCAGTAGATCGGAAAGTGAGCGAACACATACTGGCGTTCGCTCACTTCTCGAACCTGTCACGGCTCTCTGCCGTGACAGGGGAGGGACTGGATTCCCCCCTCCCCGCTCCGATCCTCCAGCGCTGACTGGCGGAACGGACGGGGGCAGGTACAGCTGGCTCTGCCTCTAGATAGGAAGAGCCAGCTGTCACTCACGCAGCTGGGCGGATCCAGACATAATTGCCGGGATCCGCTTCAGCTGCGGCGTCTCAGTATACCGCGAGCTATAGCTCACGGTATACTGAGCTTAGGGTGACGGGAGGACGCTAGTTTGTGTCCTCCCGTTACCCTAAGGAGAACTATGGGGAAAAGCCCTAACCCCATAGTTCTCCTTTTAAGGCCTTTCATTTGAATGACAGAGTGGAGACAGGACACAGCACATCATGTATGTGAACACTTGCACATGTACCAGATCCCTGGAAGAAAAAAGACATTCTACTAGTAGAATCACATTCTACTTGGCAGTGGTGCTACAAAGGAACCCTCTTATAAGCATTTCCAGGCGTTCTTCTTTCTCATTATACATTACTCTTGATTGGCGAGGGATCCGTTGTATGTAAGTCCCATAAAAAGCACTTTGGGGTCAGTGCAGAACTGTTTGGACACCAACTACAGTGGAAAAATCATGCAAATAAAATAAGTATTGCCAGTAGGCCCCTTATGCAAATTGCATGGGACTGATAGGGAAGCAGATTAATAACCATGGCTGTTTTAGAGAAGGATAAAGATTCTAGCATCAGAAAGCCATTAGAGTTACTAACATTGCCACAGGTACATCAGCTGCATAGAAAAACCTTCAGTAATTTTGTCCTTATTGCTTGTTGGAAAATTTAGGAAGAAAGAAGTACTGGCAAAACACAAAATCCAGCAATAAACAAGCTAAGGCCCCATTCACAATGAGGCGTTTTGTAGCTTCTTCCACAAAGCATGACAATACACAACAAGAAGAATCAATGGCCTCTGTTCATACCTGAGCGTTTTGTCGTTGGTTGCAGGTCATGCAAACCTTGAAAAAGTAGATGAGTTTTTTCTGCATCAAACCTAATACACCGCAATAAATTTGGCTAGCACAACACACTGCAACACATTGTAGTGTGTTACAACTAGGGATGCACCGGTATATCGGCCGCTGAAACATATCGACCAAAAATTGTACTTTTGGCAATTCCCCGCAGCTCCTCCCCGCTGGGCGCTGCTCTGTGTCCCAGCATGAAGGAGAGAAACTGTCACCGGCGGCCCAGCACTGCAGGAGGAGAGCGCTGTGAGCGGCCGTCATCTCTCCTCCCCGCACCGCTCAAACTCCTGTCACAGATCGGCAGAGCGGTGCGTGGGCAGAGACAGCCAGTGCTGTCACAGCAGGCTGAGCTCCGATCGCTCACTGACACAGGAAGGAAAGCGGTACAAACACTTAGAGATCAGTGATCGCTGAGTGTTTGTAAATAATTGAGGACAGAGCATGGTTACTATATCCTCAATTATGAATGAATGGGAAGTGCTCTACATCACATCTACATCCCCTCCTGTCCATTCATGATTGTGGATATAGTAAACACACAATGTTCTCATGTTATGAATGAACAGGAACACTCGGGATAGAGGATTCCGGTTCATTTATAACTGGGGCTGCAGAAAAAGAGATTGAGGACTCTGGGTTTAAAAAAAAATAAAAAGAGAAATATCAGGGATCTGTTTAGACCCCCAATATT